AAATATTGACGAGAGCCTGATTCCACCACGCTGCCTCACATATGAACATTTAGGATAAGAGATATTTTTTTCATCCAAGTAAAGACAAGTGAACAAGCTTTAAGATGATACCAATAACTCTACATGTCCAAATATTGACGAGAGCCTGATTCCACCACGCTGCCTCACATATGAACATTTAGGATAAGAGATATTTTTTTCATCCAAGTAAAGACAAGTGAACAAGCTTTAAGATGATACCAATAACTCTACATGTCCAAATATTGACGAGAGCCTGATTCCACCACGCTGCCTCACATATGAACCTTTCCAAAGTGCCAGCAAACTTGTGAGTACAATACAAAAACTGACATTGTAAAAGGTAAAAAAAGACGCTTGTAAAAGGAGACTGATATTGACACTACGCTGCCTCAGAATCACAAAGCTCTATCTGACATTTTTGGCTGTTTTGAGTAACTAACACCATGAGGTCAGAAAACAAATTTAAATGTTCTATCTATCAAAATGGTTAGATTATTTAGAGTCGATATCAAGATATTCAAAGAATCACATTCCAAAAAGCTTGACTACGTTGAGAAAAATCAAAACTCTTAACTTCAAACTTTTCCGAACTAGGCACTGGGAAAATAGAACTTTGTAATTCTAGGGTAGCGACTAGCAGACCACAGCAAGAGTCCGTTAAGTAGTTTCAAAATGATTACAATTACAACCGAACCAGGTTTTACTGCCACCTGTCCAAAACAATCACCTATTTAAACGGCCGTCCCCACCCCCCAACCCCTTGCGTTTTTCTGCACTGTCCGAGATGTCCGCCTTTACAAGACAACTACTTTTGTCCTGGACAATGGATGGTCGTCTTGTACAGTTTTTATCTTCTTTCTTGCTCATTCTGTGAACTTTCTTCACTATTTTATGTGATTTACTGTTTAATTTTGTGTTTGTATGTGTGTCATCAATAGTTATGATTTTATGGATTCTCCATGGGAATATGAAGAGCCCCCGCCGTACTCAACGCACGCGTTCAACAATTACAATGGAAATGAAAACGAAGGAGGTAGGCTATGTTGTTTGAGTTCATTGAACTTTGAATTTGGAAAATACCTAAAAATCTTGACCATTCCATTATTCGCCACCCATTATTGTTGCTACTTCGCACCGGCATTACGACAGTGTGTTACCTATTTATCGTGTGGGGTGTGGGGTAGATGATACTTTTTCCACCCAAGGCAAAACAGAAGAACATGCTTTAAGATTATACCAGTTGCTCGTTATGACCAGAATTGACGAGCGCCTGACTTCACCATGTCATGGCACATTTTGCCCTTTCCCTTTTGTAGTATTACGTTCATTCTATTTCGCTTTCATGAGCTTATAGTGGGAGGCTCAGAATGGAATTAATTTGAACACTGCAGTAAGGGTATTTACGAGGCAGAGCCTCAAGGTAAAAAAAAAAAGTCATTATGTCAGAGGGAGCAAGCAACGAGATCACAGACATGGCTGATAAGATTTGGGGGCAGGCACAATTATAATTATCTGACTGCAGGTGTGATAAAATGTCAAAACACTAAACTTATTGGAGGAATAGCGGCTGCCATCAGCATCATCATCATCCTCATCATCATCCTCATCATCATCATCATCATCATCATCATCATCATCATCATCATCATCATCATCATCATCATCATCATCATCATCATCGAATGGAGTTATTTGGACGAGTGGGGGTGCCGCTGAGCATATTGACAATGGAGCAGAAAAAGAGCCTCGCTCTCGCTCGAAGATTTCTTCATGGAGTCCGCCAGGCCCATTAAGGAAACAAAAAAGAAATCATCATCATCCTCATCATCATCATCATCAACATTCCCATGGGTATAATACTGTTGGGTTTTTTTTAATCCTTTTTAAAATTTGTATCATAGTAGTAGTAGTAGTAGTAGTAGTAGTAGTAGTAGTAGTAGTAGTAGTAGTAGTTACTGTTGTTGTTGTTGCTGTTGTTATTGTTATTACTATTGTGTTTTTTCATCACTATTGTCAATATCATCTAATGCGGCTACTGATTAATTCATTCTATCATTAATTCGTATTATCATCAAGGTTAGTGACCTTAGTAGTCTTTTTTGGGGGTACTGTTTCAATATTGATGTTCCTGTTGCTTTTATTTCCACATTGTTGTTGTTATTGTTGTTTCAATTTCCATACTGATATCGTACCGTTTTTAATTTCCAAATTATTGTCATTGTTGTTTGTTTTCATTCCCTTACAGTTATTTTTGTTGGTTTGTTTTTGTTTTTGTTCTGTTTTGTTTGGGGTTTTTTGCGTTCTGTTATTTTCATTCTTGTTGTTTTTATACCCATATTGTTATTGTTGTCGTTTTTAAATTTTCATATTGTGTTGTTTTTATTTCTATATTATTATCGTTGTCTATTTTTCCATATAGTTGTTTGTGAGTTGTTGTTGCTGGAGTTTTTGCTTTCCTTTTTGTGTGTGTGTGTCTTTCTTTACGTATGCACTGCTTTTCTGGTTGTTATTATTGCCATTATCATTGCTATTCTTGTTGTTTTTATTCCCCTATTGTTATCGTGGTTGTCTTTAATTTCCAGCGGAGGCGACCAGAAGTGTCATCAGTGCCGTACAGTATGACAACCGGGAAGAGCCTAGAGTCAGTATGCTTAATGACGGTGTACCAGTCTACCAGTTCGTCTCCAGATTCCAGGACCAGGGAGGGGAGAACCTCTACAACAACCCGAGCCAAAGCAACACGGACGAGCCACCTGATTACCACCAGACTGAGTCTCCCGCTTACAGTTCCATATGTTGAACGACTACCCTCCAACACCTCCTTATGGGGACACTCAAACACTCCTCTAATGTGATTTTTTTTTCTAGTAAGTGTTTTACGGCCCTCGCAACTGCATATGAGCGCGCGGAACACATTAAACATTATCAGTTGGTAAGAAATTTTGAAGCAGACGAAAACAGACGACAAATTATTGCTAGAGAGCAGGAAGGGGGTGAAAGGAGACAATTTTAGAGAAGAAATTTTTTTTGGTCGCTACCCGGATTCGAACCCGGGACCTTTGAATAACAGGAGAACACCTTAACCCCTAGGCCACGAGAGCCCCCTGTTGTGATTTGTTGATGTTGAAACGTTTCGGTGAAAGTTGAATGTTAATTGATTTGTTGCCGTACATCACTTAATTGTTCTCTTGGTCAAATACTGAGAGTTGTAGGCCTATACAGTGTATTGTACACTATCTCAAATGATATTCTGAAGGTTGCCAGTTCGAACGCTACAAGGGGCTAGTTGCTGTTGTTGTTGTTGTTGTTGTTGTTGTTGTTGTTGTTGTTGTTGTTGCTGTTGTTGCTTTTCATTCCTGGCATGATTTTGCCCCCCCCCCTTCCCCGCCTTCAGTTAGGTGTTCTGATGGGTGTCAATGTGTCAGGAAATGGTGGAATCAGGCGTTCGTGAATTTTCGGGTATAATATGAACTTACTGATAGGATCTGAAAGTCGGTTTATTTGCCTTGATTTTGATTTTTTTAATAACTATTTATCTTGACTACATGTTGGGATATTTGCAATTGAAAGAGGTGGGGGTTGCCTAGTGTCAGAGATAAAGTTAACTGGAACATGTCCGCCAAAGTTTATTGACTTCCGAATCTTGGGTGTCCTTAGAAAATGCAAGAAAATACATTTCTTATGAGTTTGATCAACGTTTTCCCCGTAAAATTCACAGAGAAACGCGTTTTTAATGGACATAAAAGGTGTTGAGCGCACCCCCCCCCCCAACCCCCAAATAATTAATAAATCGATAGATATTGCCCAACAGGCCGAAAAATGCCTTTGATTTCATAGTTTTGACGAGTACCTGATTTCTCCACGACGCATCGTCCTGGATTTAGGTTATGTCTTGCAACAGTGTCAAAATTCTCTTTTTAAATTGTCTTGATTGTTTGTACATTTCCATTAGTTTCTTTTATGTTTGTTTGTTGTTTTCGTTTGTTTTTTTGTGTTGTTGTTTGTTTTTGTTTTTTTTTGGGGGGGGTCCTATGTCAAATCTATTTTCTGACCCGTGATTACTTGTTCATAATGATTCTTTGATAATAGACCTTTAAAGTACTTACTCATTACATTCATTCTTACGAACTTACTGACCAACCAAAGATAGCGGATGTGGGTGGTTGGCGGGTGCTCTAATATGGTTTGCTCATTTTTTGCTATCAAACATGTATCAACCTGAGCTCTCTTCCTCTTTTTCTTTATATATCGCTCTGTAGTAACACTTCTAATCGTCAGCACCATACATTGTATAGCTGAATTGTGTTGGATGTGCCGTAAAACCCTTTCTAAAACAAAACTGAAGAGTGAGAACCAACAAAGCTAATTACTCACATTAATTTACTCACTCAGTTTCTTTGTTAGATGTATCAGATCTGTCACTTAAGCCTGAGTCTGTGCTTATAAAATTCTTCACCTCCCACCTTCCTCCTCTTTCGTGGCGACGGTACTACCGGACTCGTAATCGTGAGATTGCGGGCTCGGGGGTTCGAGCCCCAGCTCAGTCCGACGTTGTGTCCTTGGGAAAAGGCGCTTTACACAAAAATCCCATTTGGCTGGGTCCATTAGGAGATGGACGTTAAACTCGGAGGTCCCGGCTCTCAAATAAACCTAATAGTGTTGATAAGGGCGTTAAAAACATATCATTTCTCCATTTTCACCTCCTCTTTCACCTTAACGTGGCTCTCTCAGACCTATTATGTAGTTATACACAGACTGCTTTCCATACATTTCAAGATGGAATGTTTCACGACGTCTGTTTAACTTTGTGTGACAACTTCTCCTCTTGTGCTCCAGCCACCGAAATGCTGTTTCTCTATCTCCTAACAATGTCGGTATTCTTCAGACGTAAAAGTAATTCCATCTTATTATACGTACATCTTGCAAGATGGGGCTACTTGATATGCATGTATATTCATTATAACTTATGTATTAGTATAATATGCAATTCAAAATGATATATATTCTCTCCTTTACCATAACTCTATTCATTTTTAATGTTCTTAATTAATGCAACCATGTAATACATGCCAGCTCAAAATGTGACTAATTTTGTAACTGTTTGACACATCCATTGGCATATTAATGCAGGTCCTTTAGGAAGCAGACTGCTTCAACCCTGCCCTATTTAGGCCAACCTGGGCTGGAGAGAAATATAACGACCCAGCAGACAGACGGACACTGTAGACAAAATAAACTTCCCTGCGCGGAAATTGAATAACTTACATAATATTATGTGTAGGTCTTTGAAGAGCATAACCATCAAATTCCATTACTTTTCATTACCTTAACTTACTTTACTTTATAATACATTACATTACAGTGCAGCACAGTACTTGTTGTAGGCTTTCTTTCTATGCTGTTGTTACTTATACGTTGAGGTTTATAAATCGGGTGTTAAAGTGTATATTATTATTACATTATATGTATATATTTTTATGGTTACGTTGTTGCAGTATTTACTTTACTCCTAATCTTTACCATGTATCTAGAGATAGAAAGAAGATTCCACGTTTAGCCAGCAGCAGGTGAAGTTTGTAAGGAAAATCAAAACAATTGATGAACTTCTCGGGACAGTGTCAGAAGTAATGATATTTCCATTCTGATTTCTGTATTTACTTGAAACAACACGAAATCCAATAGATGAATTCTTTACAAACTGTTTTAGAGCTGCAAATGAATGATAAAAACTGTTCAGTAATTTAAAAAATAATGTGTTTGTAGTATGATTTTTGAACTCGGTTCTTCAGGTTTCGTTTGTGTGTGGGGGGGGGGGGGGGTTACCTCTCTGTACCCATTTTTATATTAGAGAAATACATTGATTTAAGTTATGATAGCCTGTAGCGCGAAAGCAGCAAAGGGACTCAAAGGTATCTTCCGGTGTCTTAATAACAAATTTTGATGAACCTTACTCAGTTTTTGAAGACTGTTTTATTAAGAAATAACACCCAGATGCACTGCCATGTCCCTCTCAGCAAATTGAGCCTGTGCATAATCCATCTGGTCTGTTATAGGATATTACAATGAAAAAATTAACTTGTAGAAAAAGGCAGAAAACATATGCCACTGATTTCCCTATTTTGTTTACTTTAAGGATATATTACTAGTACACGTATTTTAAAGGCAAAACTAGTTCTGATGCTGTGCAGCAATACAAACAGACAACTGCCTATTGTTTTCATGCAACCACATTTCACGAGTATTCCATTTATTATTTCTATGCATATATTATGTTATTTTAATAGTAATATTTAGGCTACAATATATTATTATGTTACGATTGCTTTTTCACCACATATTATATCCATTACATTTTCTGAGGTGCCTTTGTCGTTGTATGAAGATTATAACAAAGCTTTAGCATTAAAATCGTTATGTTTTGGTGATATTGGTCAGGCCATAATATGTATGTAGCTTTTGACTCCTTCAATCGTCACTGTAGATGAGTTCATCTTTACTCTCACACTCTTATGTTTATAAGCAACAACCTCCTGCACCACTTGCTTCATGTCCCCATGAACAGCAAAGAACGTTTGAATTGTGTAGCAGAAAAATGGTGGTAGTTTAGAGAATCAACAAATCGTCAGTTCATAAACCAAAATAGAACTCTCTAATAGAACTCAAAACCCACATATATACATGTATACATACATATTATATTAAAAATATTTCTGGCATGGGTGACCTCGCGTTAGACAAAAAGAAATTAGGAAGAGATCACCTTGGATGTATTGAAAAAAAATGTATTATCAAAATAATTAGATAACCAAAAAATATAATAACAGTAGCAACTCCCACAAAGCAATCATGGTTTACAGCTAAGATACGAGGGAGAGTAAAAGAATAATGCAATTTGTTCGTTATTTTGCACAATTTTGCATCAAAGTTAATTAAATTCAACTCACAAGTACGTGCTCATATACTTTTGAACTCAAAAGGATAAAATTTAAGTTTCTTTAATTTTGGCCCGAATGACATCACATCAAAATGGTTACCCTCTTGGGAGTATGTCTGAGGTAAAGAGCTGTGATTTAATTTGTTTTAGAAGGAGAATCCACCGATAACATCCAAAAGAGACTTCAAAATGTTTACAAGGGCCAAACTCTAGATTTTGGCACTGTATATAGGTGGGTCAGACGTTTGAGCAAAGAATCAGAAAAAGAGGAAGAAGTGCCCATATGCTTGTCAGACAAGCATCGTCCCGAGGAGTCAGCAGGAAAAATAAAGGCAAATGTCTTTTGTGACGTTCATAGTGTGCTTCTCACAGATTTTTTTTTTACCACGAGCAGCAACTGTCAATTCTGAACCCTACTTTGAAACATTGAAACGACTGAAAGCAAGACTTCGACGAGTCACACCAAATTTGAACTTGGAAAGGGTGTCTTTTTCACCATGACAATGCCGCATGCATTCGAGTACCAGAACAAGAGAGACAATCACCCCGTTTATGTGGAAAACACTGCCACACTCAACTTATTCTCCTGATTTTGGCTCCTATAGACTCCCACCTTTTCGGTCCTAGAAAAGAACCATTGAGAGGTCAACAGTATGGAAACCACGGAGAAATCAAGACTGCTGCACCCCTACAACCAACCTGCTCAGTTTTACGAAGCTGGCATATGTGGGCTTAGTAAAAGATGGACGGTGGCTATTGAACAAAATGGAGACTATGTTGAGAAATAAAAATCTGATCTTCAAATGCTCCCCTTCAATTTGAGGTATGATAGTTGCAAGTGCGTTCTTTTTTCTTTAAACTATAAACGAACATACATTACTTTTTTTAAAACACAAGGGAAGGAGACGGTAAGATGAAATAAAAGGGAGCAAAGGGGTCCTAGTCTGGGTGCTCTCATTACCAAAATTGAGGGTAAACGAGGCAGAGGTGAACCCAGAGCAACCTCCTTGAAGAGCCTAAACAGATGGGTGACGTGGAAAGATCAGAATAATTTAGTTTTTTAGAGCATTGAACAAAACGAATGAAAGGAGAATCATGAACGCTCATGTCTGTCCCAGAACAGGCAATTAATGATGATGACTTTATACAGACTTCTAAAAGTGTGTTACTTCCACGCCCTGTCGTCACTCTGTACGTTTCAAAGAAAGAAAAACAGTCAAAAATAAAGACCAGAAAAGGTTTATAATACTTAGAGTGCCACCAAATCTCTGCCCAGCAGTATTATTATTAGTTCTTCCTGGAGCCCCGTGAAGATAGCTAGTTTCGTTAATGAAAACTTTATAGATTCTCATGTTGATCTCTGACCCCGTAAAGTTCATGGTGTTGGTAAAGAGCAACTGCAAACGGTCAGCAGTGAACCACAGATATCCTTCCTCGTCGATAGCAAAAGTGTCTTGCCATTGCATTTTCTGGTCATCTTTCACCAACTGTGTCTGTGTGTTTAGGGTCACGTGACTAATGTCCTTGTTTTGATCCCTCATGTCTTTCTCAATGTCCCAGTAACACACGGCGTTTTTGCTCAGAGCGCCGTAGTAAAGACGTTTGCAGCTGAACGCCATGCCATCCGATTGGGAACCTTTCTTCCCCACAAGTCGGATTCCGTCTGACCCTCCATTTCTCAGTGTTGATGTTGGTACCTGGTAAAGACTGTAAGCTCCTATGGAGGAGTAATACAGGTAATCAAAGTTAGGGGACATAGCAATACCATTTACACCCAGAGAAAAAGTGTAGTTCTTCCCGTTAATCACAATGATGCCCCCATCCGGTTCTGCTTTCATGGATGCTTCGTCATTCAGACTCCAAGCTCGCTTTGTTCCGAAGTCAAAAACGTGAATACTGTGTGCGTTGACGTCAGTTATATATGCATATTTCACTTGGCCGTCCACGTAATCTAGCACGATATCGTTCAAGAAATTGTCATCTCTTTTAACAACATCGTCTGGAAAATCGTAACTAGCCACACGCTGGTCAGTATGAAGGTCGAAGACGACAATTTTGGCTGGACAAAGGTTCTGAGCCCCGGATTGTGCAAACAGGCCATTTCTTCCAACATCGATGACGTACATTCGGCCGGTATTGGGGTCTATTTCCATACTCTGTACGTACTGTAAGGCCTGGCAGTCTCCGACAGTCTGTGAGGCCCAGTCTGGGTATGGCCTTAGTTTGACCTCGCTCCCAACTTTTACGACCTTAACTAAGGACACAGGAATCCCAGTTGTTGATAGCCACCTTGGTATGCTGAGATACACTTCGTTTTTGTACACCTGAGAATAGTTTAAAATACATATGATCAAACTGGGTTAACAGCATAAAATTGTTTTTGTTTAATTTGTTCTATGGTTTGACTGAAACATGCTACTGAGAACATTGAATGAAGATGAGGCTCTTGATGTTTACCTCGTTTTTCTTCTTTTTTTGGGGGGTCATATATATATATATAGGGAAAATAGTTTTCTGTCTTGTGTATTTGTTAAGTGTAACAATCACTCGGACGTACCGTACATAAACAGCTCAAAGACACCAAAAAAAACAATAAAAAAACAAAAACAAAAACAAAAACAGACTAGCTAAAACAAGCTAGTCTGTTTTAGTTTGTTTTGTTTTTTTAATTGGGGTTATTTTTTTGTCTTTGAGCTGTTTATGTACGGTACGTCAGAGTGATTGTGGGTTTGAGTGCGCGTGTGTGTACCGTGTGTGTGTGAGGGGGGGGGGTTCGGTGTAGAAGCATACGTATGTTTGTTATCTGATATGTTGGTACTGTAGGCTCCAAGATGCGGTATTTAGAAACAAGTGTGGTAAGTATCATTGAGCAAAAATGATTAGAAAACGATTTGTCGTTCTATATGTCCGTGATTACCCTTAACTCTGACTCCCTTTTACCGCCCACTCCTGAGAGTGCCAATAAACTTTAGTTTCTCACACCACCACCACCCCTCCCCGCCCCTTCTTTTTAAACATACACACAGTAACATCTTCATTCCCCTACTTTAACGAATTGGACATTACAGCTTGCAATAAAAAAAAGTTAATTCCATCTTTTTGGACAATAAACATCCCTTGTTCCCTCAAATAAAAACATCAGTCAGAAGTAAAAGACCTAGGCTTTTGCTCTGTAACAAAGAAAGATACGGAAGGTCATTTTACCGACCATCAACTTTTTCCATTAATCATCTTGTTACAAGTATTCATATGACCTTAGAGCATGAATCAGAATAACATTGAGTTACAGCCGGAATACTGAGTATGTATCTAGCTTAAGATTATCTTTGTTTATATTACTGTTCATTTACAGTATGCATGTAACTGTAAGCCTGCGTGTGTGTGTGCATGTTTGTGTGTGTGTGTGTGTGTGTGTGTGTGTGTGTGTGTG